AGAAATGTTCCAACGGGAACAACTAGAGGACCTCCTCTGAGGTCCCGGCATGCTGGGACTGCATTTAGCTTTGGGCTGGCCTGCTCAGATGACAAGCCCACTCAGCGTGGGAGTCCTGGGACCCCTTTTTCAACTCCCATAATTTTCTGTGAAAGGCCTCTGGGGGTGATGGTATACCTGGTGAGCAGGACATGCTTCACAGCGGTATAGTTCCTGTACAAAACATTTTATTATGCCATACTCTGCTTTGATGCTAAGCACCATGCAAGGGGTCTCCAACACACCCCAACAGGGTCCCATCCCGGGGTCCTACCCCTCCTAGTGGTTTTAGTGCAGGAAAGGGACTTCACTCCCTTTGTCCCCTGTTTTTGCCACCCAAATCTAGGGTCTCCCACTCCAGATGTCAGGGGGTCTTCATCCAAGAAGCCTCTGTACCTAGGAGAAAAATCGCAGGAAAAGACTTCCGCCTCCTTGTCTGCCAGGCACAGAAAGCCCACCAAACTAGCCCAAAAGGGTGCCCACACTAACCTCAGGGACCCCCACAACAGTACCTGGCTTGAACAGCCTCCATTAGTGGGGTCCCTGTGTGAAACCCGGCAAGGGAAGCATCTCCTTTTGGGATACGAATGCTCCCCCTGGTTAGCTTTCATCTATACGAATGGTGGCCACCCATGGAAGCACTCATTAATTACTTCCCTTGAGATTTCACACTTATGTTGCGAGTGTTAACGTTCTATTTGATTGGGACCTCGGTAAGGTACTCATTCGGAAACTGAATTAGGAGGGAATACTCCCACTGGATGGCATTTGTCTATACGAGAAGGCGGCCACCCAGGGAGGACATGCGCCAAGGTTTCCCTTGCGGTTTTGGCACTATGTCAAGGTGAGAATGTTCTAATGGACATTCTAAAGAGCTTTTCAAATGGGCCATTGGTTTGGTTCTCGTTCTGGAGGTGAATGGATTCCCTTTATCGAAGCACTCCCGAATGGGGAGCAGGCATAATACGCTAACACATAGGGCAACACACACAACAGAGGGGAAATGTACGAACGGCAACAGTTCCGCCACATAAAGTAATATTGATAAAGACAGGATACTAATGTACAGGAATGTATAGCCAACACCCTTTATACAGTAAACATAACTTGGCTTGTTAGTCTAGGAGCTTATTCATTAAACGCTACTAAACACAAGACTGAAATAAAGTCAAAATCTTTTATCCTCTTTATGCCAGCTTCTTGAAGAGAGACAGTGCTGGAGTGAGGTGGCAGCTGCACAGGCAGAGTCAGCATGAGTGGAGGGGAGAGGAGCACAAGGAGCTGCTCCAGATCCCTCACTCTCATCAGCCAGAAGCAGGACCAGAACTTCAATTAAGCAACCCTCCTGGACACAAGGTAAACTAAAAAAAAACATGACGTATATGTATGTCAGATTGTGTGTGTGTGTGCATATCTGCTTGTCAGGGTGTGCATCTGTGTTTGTACATGTCAGACTGTGTGTGTGTGTGTGTGCGCGCGCACGCGCATCTGCTTGTCAAGGTGTGAATCTGTGTGTCAGGTTATACCTGCCGGTTTCGCCGAATTAAGCCACTTCCGGGTTGACGGAGCTCTGCCCCGCCCCCTTCTCTGCCGCGGTCTCCTCACGCTACATAGGAAGACCGCGCCAGATTCAAAGTTGCTGGATTATTGAACGAGTTCCTGCGAACCTCTTACCGGCTACCAAGTTACATTCGAAGCTTTACCGTGTACCGTACCCGCTCTGAAAACGTCTACCTGCCTTCTCCACTCCTCGACCTCGGATTGTTTAACGGACTTCTGCTCCTACCCCTAAGGGACTGCTTAATTGAATTCACCAGTTCTCTGGAACTCCTGCTACTGAAGCTAAGTACTTTATTTCCTTCAATCAAATTGCCTCTCAGTTTGGCTGCAAATATAATCTGCCTCATTTTTAACACTCATGAAGCTATTTCTGCTGCATTTAATTCAACTCTAATTCTGCATGCAAACTCTGCTCTATCCTTAAATAGGACTGCTTGGCTTTTATGCAAAACTTCAGTGGCTTATTTCTTCCTGCAACTAACAACCTGCTATAAGGGTTTAAAGCTACAGTAACCACTCTTGCAATTCAATAAAAAAAAATATAAAAAAATTATAAATTGAAGTACTTAAAAGTTTTTCTGCAGTTGCGTTCCAGTCATTTAGCATTACACTGTGTTTGTATATGTCAGTGTGTGTGTATATGTGAGTGTGTATGCGCATACATCTGTGTGTCAGGATGTACTTCTGTTTATGTGTATGTGCATCTGTGTGTCAGGGTGTGCATCGGTGTGTGTGTATCTGTGTCATGGTGTGTGCATGTGACAGTGTTTGTGCCAGGCTGCATGTATATGAGTGTTAGAGTGTGTGTTTGTGTTTCTATGTCAATGTTTGCGTGTATGTATCAGTGTCAGTGTCTCTGAATTTATGTTTATGTGTCAGTGTATCTATATGTATCTGTGTGTTAATGTGTTAATGTGTTAAATTACGTGCCTGGTACTGGTCTAACAAAAATCCAGAATCCAGAGTAATGAACGCACTCAAAGGACTTCAAAATGGAAAAGATGTGTTCAACACTTCTTTTTCATTTTGAAGTCGTTTGAGTGTGGTGATTACTCTGGATTCTATATCTGTATGTACACTGAACAAAATTATAAACGCAACACTTTTGTTTTTGCCCCCATTTTTCATGAGCTGAACTCAAAGATCTAAGACTTTTTCTATGTATACAAAAGGCCTATTTCTCTCAAGTATTGTTCACAAATCTGTCTAAATCTGTGTTACTGAGCAGTTCTCCTTTGCCGAGATAATCCATCCACCTCACAGGTGTGGTATATCAAGATGCTAATTAGACAGCATGATTATTGCACAGGTGTGCCTTAGGCTGGCCACAATAAAAGACCACTCTAAAATGTGCAGTTTTATCACACAGCACAATACCACAGATGTCGCAAGTTTTGAGGGAGCATGCAATTGTCATGCTGAGCTGTTGCCGGTAAATTGAATGTTCATTTCCCTACCATAAGCCATCTACAAAGGCATTTCAGAGAACCTCACAACCGCAGACCACGTGCAACCACACCAGCCCAGGACCTCCACATCTAGCATCTTCACCTCCAAGATCGTCTGAGACCAGCCACCGAGACAGCTGTTACAACAATGGGTGTGCATAACCAAATGATTTCTGCACAAACTGTCAGAAACCGTCTCAGGGAAGCTCATCTGAATGCTCGTCGTCCTCATCGGGGTATCGACCTGACTGCAGTTCGTCGTCTTAACCGACTTGGGTGGGCAAATGCTCACATTCGATGGCGTCTAGAACTTTGGAGAGGTGTTCTCTTCATGGATGAATTCCGGTTTTCACTGTACAGGACAGATGGCAGACAGCGTGTATGGCGTCGTGTGGGTGAGAGGTTTGCTGAATTTAACATTGGATTGAGTGGCCCATGGTCTCGGTGGGGTTGTGGTATGGGCAGGCTTATGTTATGGACAATAAACACAGGTGCATTTTATTGATTGCATTTTGAATGCACAGAGATAGAGATGACAAGATCCTGAGGCCCATTGTTGTGCCATTCAAAAAATGGGGACAAATCAAAAGTGTTGCGTTTATAATTTTGTTCAGTGTATGTATGTCTGTAGTAGTGTATGTGCATACATCCAAGCACACTCCTGAAATCTAACACAAATATTACCTACAAATACACCCCTGCATTCAAACTCCAAAATTATATACCAACACACCCATTCACTCAAACACCAATACTACACACAAAACGTACGTCCACATTTAAAGGCAAACATTACATTTAAACTGCCCCTGCAATCAAACGCAAACATTACATACAAACACACCCCTGTATTAAAACACTAAGATGGTATACAAGCACCCCTTTCAATAAAACACCAATACTGTATATTATATACAAAAGCGCCAGTATATGCAGCAGAGCTGTACAGATATACAGCCTATAAATTTGTTTTGACTTGGGACACCTTGGAATAATATTAAAATATTAGTGGGGAATTAAACTTAAAACGTTTGGGAACTACTGGTATACATCAAGATACTGATCATTTGTCACTTTGCTGGTCCTGGCACGTAAGCTCTCTTGTTTAAACTGTATATAAGAAATATAGCAGTCTTCTTTGATGCTCCCCATGATCCACAGGCAATAAAGTAATCTCTGCTTATTCAACTCTTGTGTGGAACCTGTTTTACTTTATTGCGCATTCACATACCTCATAGTTCACCTTTGTCAGTATTTTTGTGCTTCTATATATTTGCTTTATACGCTAGATGGCTGTCCCTGTCCTTTTAATTCTTCATGCTCTATACAGGTATGGTCATTTTTCTGCTTTGGGATGGGACTTAATGGACTTTATTTTTATTCTGCATTTGGACTATTTATTTTATTTCTTATACTTTTGTATATATATATATATATATATTGTTGTTATTGTTGCTTCTCTATTTCTGCTGCTGCTTGTGGGCTGTTCCATACTTCTGGAGACCGGTGTCCCATTGGAAGTTCCACTCTGAGTGGAGATAAGCCTACAACTTCTTTTTGTCTGTAAGTGCAATACAATAAACATAACCTTGTTTTAATTATACTTCACTATTGTGGCCATTCTTTCCTTTGTTTCATGTAAGGAAGATCTTTCACAGAAGATTCCTTTTCTTAGTACACTTGGAAGGGTGATAAGCCTGAATTGGCTGTGTGTTTATGAATGTTCTAACTACAACTCACTGGGGTGTTCAGTTTTTATACTGTATTACTCTATATATATTTTGTAATTATCTCTTTTATTGGATCATTTCTCATATTTTTCCAGGTTCTACGTCATTTCATTTTTTATGCGTTTTATTTTCCCACATTCTTTATTTTGCATTTCTTATTACTATCCAGAACACTCAAAACACTCAGATCCTGGTAGTAGTTTTATTTTATTTTTTGTTTTTGTTTTTTTTTACAAACTGCTAGGTATTTAAAGGGTTATGTAAAATAAAAGAGAGACAAAAATTACCCGGGATAACATTTTATTAACCACGTCACATGTCCTATTCCCATTATCAGTTAGCAACAAATCATACGATATTGGACAATCTAACAGAAAGTATTTCTGAAAATGTATGTTTGTTAGAGGTTATGTAACTGAAACAGGTATATTTTAGCTCTGATCCCTTGTTATTTGCCCTTACTAATATATCAGCCGACTAAAAACATTTATGGGAATATGTACATGTTCAGAATCAGTATCCGTGGGTGGTATTACATTTTATATCACTTTTTTCTTAACGATCTTGTGTGTGAACCAAAGCTGTGAAACTATTCTTTTAGCATTTTGTCAACGCATTCTATTATTTTTTTTAGTTGCATATATCAGAACATTTTTGATACCCTATTTTTATTTCATGATACTGCCTTTTCCTTCTGAAATATATATATATACTAAATAGAATGTTTTCAGAAAAGCCCTTTTAACACTTTTGCGGTAAATAAGGCAGCTTTGCCATATATTCCAGGTAGCACGTGAGATGCCGCCTCTGCCAGCACACCGATTGCATTCACGAAAATGCTAAGATCAGGGGACTTGTTCTGATTCTGTAGATCCTGCGCTTCCTTGTTCACCATCTTTGCCTTATCATGGAAGCCTTGCTTCTCCAGCATCTCTCTTTCCTAGAGAGAGATAACAAGATATAAGTATCAGCATGATTGTGATGGGCAATGATGTAAGTATATGTTAAAAGAAAATGCGGTGCGATGAGATGGCTATTCTTACAAATATCAGTTAAATATATGGAATCCTGCAGAATGTCACTGTTAGGATACAAATATTTAACCCACCTTTCGACTTGTAATCCTCCACCATTTGGCATAAGACATAATTTAGATTCAGGCGCTATTTTGTACTCAGGGTCTATTTCATTGTTTAGTGCTCAAAGCTGCTTAAATGATCATTTATATCAAGACAGTATATACATACGTTTCAATACTAACTCGCTTGCACAAGTACCTTGTACTTACGTTTTCTCAGAACCAACATGTCCTGTTCAGGCAGATAGAATAGGGAACAAACAACATTACAAAACCATTATGTGGTCAGGTTTACCCTTGTACTCTCTTGTCATTGTTCCTTTTTTTATCCTAAAATAACTATGGCGGTAATGAATTATTTTTGACAATCGTCCACGATGTTTTCTGATTCTGATTACTGTAAACATTTCATGAAATACTAGCTGATAGGACATCTCTATATAAACTGATATGTTATGCCAATATAACTCTGAAATTCAGAGTGTTTTGTGTCCGTCATTTCTCCGAACTCGTAGTTGTGGTGTGCTGGTTGGAATTCCAAATATGGACTGCAGCCGTTAAGATTCCCCAGGGAAGAAATATTACCCTTACAGTCACATTACAGAATCTCATACAACCATTGTGATTGTATTTATTTTATTTCTAATGTTTTAATTTTTCTAACATTCGTGTCACGTTGAGCTATTCAGACTCATAAAAAGCTCTACACATACATATTATTAAACAACTGTTTCAGTTTACAAAGTTGACTTGTAATCTTGCAGAACAAAAAGCTAATCAGTCTGAGCTTATGTGAGGAAACAAACTAGCAGTTATGAGGTCCATTCACTAAATAGTTAGTTGTTATTACTTGAGAACCAGCTTGCAAATTGTAGAACAAAATATTGAAGATGATTCCGATTTCGTTTTCAAGTCACAGTTTGCTGTTTGGTGTGTGAGCGCATATACTGTGATTCACAATTAGCAAAAATCACTATTGCTAGCTATAAAACCACCACCACCACTGTCTGGCATCACAGGGTGGTTTGCTTCCCACTGGTCCTCTTAGAGATATTGCAAAGCAGCCAAGCAGGTTTACTTTACGCTATTTCTTATTTCCTTAAAAAAAATAAAAAATGAGCGATTATTTTTCTTTTGCATTTTTATTCTATTATCTCTATAATGCATTAAAAAAACACTCTGAGCACCATGACTACTACAGTGCTCAGTAGTGGTTCCCCCCATGGTAAGTATTAAGACTGTTATAGTGCTTGGGATGGAGGAGGAAGTTGTCCATTTTAGAGCAAAAGCTTTCTTAAATGTACCTTGGTTTTCTGCTCAATTAGCCAAATATTTTCTTTTATCATTTGTGTTCGTTCATCTTCCAACTTCTTCTTCAGCATTAAGGCTTGCTGCTCAAAGTTTTTCTTCAACTCATTCATAGTTTTCTCCATCTGCATTTCTTTCTCCTCTTCCAACTGCAATTTGCGAGCTACAGTCTCATTCTCAATCTTTTGTTCTGAAGAATTAGAAAAGGAAAGAATTCATAAAGTGGCCCTTTACTAGCCAAAACCACCAAATGGGGCAGAGCCACCTGGAAAATCCAGACTTTGCTTATAATATTTATCTATGCCAAGATTTTGCAGAATAGGTTCTGAATGAACCTGAATTGGATCCGGATTTCAATGAAAATAAAAGGCTGGAATCTCACTTGGAGTAGTAAAATACAGGCCTGGATTGCTAAAATATTGACTCATAATTTAAAAGTCCAAATTATTTGTCCACTGGCAGTCCTAGCAGCCAGCATTGGCATGTTCCTCTTAAAGATCCCCTCAAGGAGTGGACGCTGGTGGGAGACAAAATAAATGTCCTTTCACCTATGTTATAGACCCCACCCGCCTATAATTGGTGGCGGGGAAGGGACACAGGAATGTATACTCCACACCCCACCAATGGGCATAAAACCACTCACAATAGCATGTCCCCCATGTATTATGATTGAGCCCTGACCCACTGGACATCAGGTGGGAGCACATGAGGGCCAGTGCAGGTTCTCCTCCCGTTAATATACTGGTCCTATCTCCATTTGGTGGAAACTTTGAAGTGAATGGACAGCAACAGCTGCCTAGGTGCTAGTAACGATGACTGCTAACGGATGCATTCTGATCATTTTCACCAAATTTTGTCCATCCAGACAAAATTTAGTGTTTAACAAATATACTCATGAGAAACTGAAACTAAGTGGGAGATTTAACAAAGTATCACTGGCACGTTTATGTCTAGTTTTCAGCACACTTTGTTGAATCTTGGGAGGTGTTAGTCCTATTTTCTGCATTCCTTTTCAAATAATTTTTATTAAAGTTTTTTTGTATAACAAATGATAATAATACAAACATTGTATTAGGGGTAGGAAAGGAGGGGTAACATGGAAATGGGAAGGGGTATCCATCCATCAATGAAATAAACATATTAAAGTATATGGCAAAAAGAAAAATGTTTTACAACAATGCACTTTAACAATAAATATATCAAAGACCATAAACTGTTTTGATTTTTTCTTCCCATTTATCCCAGTTATATTTTAGTATTGGGAAACCATGCATATTGGCTCTGTGTGATAATTCATGTGCCTTATTTTCTAAAATCAAATTAAAAACTTCTCTGAGAGATGGCACATTTTGAGACTTCCAATGTCTAGGTAAACAGGATGTAGCAGCGATCAGAATGTGGCCTATGATTATTTTATCTGATCTATTAATGGACTCCGGGAGTTTTTTAAATAAGGCTAGTTCCGAGGTTAAGATACTAATGGTTCCGTTCACTTTAATAATCAGATCGTGGATCATTTTCCAATAATTAATTAACTTGGGGCAGAACCACCAGATATGGGCCATATTGCCCACTCCCCCACAGTCTCTCCAACACCGGTCAGAATACATATTGTTCATGTTATGTAATCTAGACGGAGCCAGGTACCAGCGATATAAGATTTTATAATGATTTTCAAAATGGTCGGTGCAATACGAAATACCTTTTAAACCTTTAAAGAAACCGAACCATTCTTCTAAATCGTACTGGGCACCCAACTCCGTCTCCCATGACAGCATATGTTTTAATTTAATTAAGGGCTTGGCATTATGAGATAAGTAACATAAGGATATCATACCTTTACTAGCGGGGCTGTATAAAATAACTTTCTCTAAAGGAGATATCTCAAGTGATTTATAGTTTTTATCTGTTTCAGGTACCTGGTATAGTTCTTTCAATTTATCAATGATTATCATACATTCCAGTTCACATGCATTCGACAATCCATACTTAAGCTTCAATTTTTCCAAAGAAAGAATAGCATTGCCATAAAAAAAATTGTCCAGATTAGTTATAGAGCAATCTTTCAATAATTCAATAGGCATTGCTCTATATAAACTGGGAGACTGGTCATTTTTAAAAACAATGTCCCAGGCCTTAAGCGTAGTCCTGGTGGATAAAAATAATTTTGTAATTCCAGGTCTTTTCTTAGGATTTAACCAAGGTAATTCTGATAGTCTAACCGGTGAAATTTTTGATTCCTCTATCTCCATCCATCTGGGTTTATCATCCTGGTTGTTAAAGCTCACAACCACTGCAGCGTTAGTGGCGAAATAATATTTGCGGATATCGGGGACACCGATACCGCCGTTCGATTTATGGTGCTGCAGGGAAGTGAGCCTCACTCGGGCAGGCTTGTTCCCCCATATAAATTTCAACATTGTCGAATGAACTTTATTAAAAAATGATAATGGAATGGACAGAGGAATGGTCCTAAAAAAATATAAAATTTTGGGGAGTATCGTCATTTTAATAGATGCGACCCTCCCCAACCATGAGAGCTCCATCCCACCCCATCTCTCCATCTCTTTTTGTAGGTCTGACCATGCTTTCCTCAGGTTGTGATTGTGCATATTGACCAAATTTTTGCATAAATTAATGCCAAGATATTCCATATATTCAGTTCTCCAATCAAATAAATATGATTTCTTAAGGGCAATGGTTTCCAAATTGTTTAAATGAAACGGGAGGGCTTGAGTTTTGGACTCATTTAATTTGTAATACGATATCTCACCAAATTGAGTTAAAATATCCATGAGGTGTCTCAAAGATTCTTTTGGGTTTTTGATAGCTAGGATTATATCATCTGCAAACAAACCAATTTTGTGAACGGATTCTTTAACAGCAATTCCTACAATTTGTGGGGTTGTCCTAATCAGTTCTGCCAGGGGTTCTATCGCTAAAACAAACAAAATTGGAGATAAAGGGCACCCCTGTCTCGTCCCGTTGGTTAGAGAAAAAGTTTTGGATGTGAAGCCAGAAGCTGAGACATGGGCAGAGGGTGCGCAATATAACGCCTTAATTGCTGTGATAAATGATGATGGTATGTTGAACCTGTCTAATGTTCTCCATAAATATCCCCAATGTATCCTGTCAAACGCTTTTTCTGCGTCTAGAGATAGAAGCAAAGAAGGCGTTTTGGTCATATTGATGTGCTGAATCAAGTTTATGAATCTTCTAGTTCCGTCTGGCACCTGTCTATTCTGCACAAAACCTACTTGATCTTTATTAATTAACAATGGGATTAGTTTGGTTAATCTATTAGCGAGAACTTTAGAATAAATCTTTGAATCATTATTAATCAGAGAAATGGGCCTAAAGTTAGGGCATCTATCAGGAGTTTTCCCCGGCTTTGGCAAAGTGACTATTCGTGCGCACAAGGACTCCTCTGGCATCTTTCCCTCGGACTTATAGGAATTGAACAATTTAGTCATATGGGGAATTAAAATTTCTGGAAAAGTTTTATAATATAAAATAGTTAATCCGTCGGGACCAGGGGCTTTTCCAGATGGCATAAGTTTAATTGCCTCAGCTATCTCTGCTGCTGATATTTCACATTCTAAGCTTTCTAAATGTACTGGAGAAAGCCGAGGCAATGACACTCTGTCTAAGAATTTATCAATTATTGTTGTAGAAGGCTGGGGGAGGTCCAAATTACATTCTAAATTATAAAGTTTACTATAATACTCTGCGAACATATCACTAATTTTAGTTGGATGAAACACTTTTTGCCCCTGATTATCAAGTAAATATGCTATTTTTGATTGGGCATTCACATGCCGGAGTTTGGATGCCAAAAGAGTTGAGGCCCTGTTACCTTTTAAGTAAAATGTTTTCCTGAGACGTCTCACCATGAGAGATGTACGATCTAAATTAATTTTGTTGATTTTAGCCTTAATTTCTCCTATCATTGCTGATAGGGAGGACGATGGACCAAATTTATTAGCTTGGTTCAAATTATACAGTTCTTTTTCCAATGTTCTTAAATTATTGCTATTAATTCTCTTCAGGTGAGACGCTCTTGAAATAAAATGACCTCTTAACACAGCCTTATGCGCATTCCAAGTCACCTCGCCAGGAACCTCGGGCGAGGCATTCTCCGAAAAATAATCACACAAAGCTTTCTCCGTCAGTGACTTGTTCACAACATCATTTAACAAGTAATCACCTAATTTCCAAGTTCTGTTAGGGGCTGATGAAACAATTTCGTCAATATGCATTATGATTGGAGCATGGTCGGACCAGTTGATGTTTAAGATATCAGATTTCAAGATGTGAGGAATTAAAGCACCCTGGACCATAAACCGGTCCAGCCTGGAATACATATTTTTAGAGACAGAATAATACGTAAAATCTCTTTCATTCTCATGCAACAGTCTCCAAGGATCGTATAAGCCACATTCAATCATATATCTGGAGCATTTATACGCTAATCTGTCACTGTCCTCTCTAAGCTGTCGATCACGGTCTTCCCTAGCGTTATCCAACTCTCCATCCATCACAAAATTCGTGTCACCACACATTACCAAGTTGCCTCTCACATTCTCATTCACTAAGTCCATCAATTTCCTAAAAAACTGCAACTGACCGGTGTTTGGAAAATACATGTTCACAATAGTATATTCAATAGTATTGAGCGATCCTATCCATATTAAATACCTCCCGTCATCATCCGTTATAACTTTGTTTGTCAAGCATGCTACATTCCTGTGAAAAAAAATCGATGTACCTCTAGACTTGGATTTATAAGTGCAATGGTATTGAACTGGGAAAAGCTTTGACATGATTTTATGGTCTTTATCATCTTTAAAATGTGTTTCCTGTACACAAATCACATCTGATTCGTTGGATTTTGCTTCTTTGAATAATAATCGTCTCTTGTGGGCGGTGTTCAGGCCTCTCACATTAAATGACATATATTTTAAGACCATGGTTTATAGAACAGTAGTACCTGATAAAGGGTAAAGGAACATTCAATCTTGTGAGAGTCCCAGTCACCACCTTCCAAGAGAGAAACATGCAAGTCCAACAAAGCTATTAAAGCAAACTCAAGCTGTGTACTTGTGTGTACAGGAATAATGAGTAAACAGATATTTACAATTTGCTGATACCACGTATTATGCATTTTTGTATGAAGCATTGCAGTGTTTCGTGGTCTAAAAACATTTCTACTGAACTTTAAATGATGAATGGACAAAAAATATAAAAAAATAAAAAAGGGGAACAAAAAACTTGGGTATATACCCCTATCAGGGGTGAAACAAAAACAGTGAAAGAGGGCCATGAGGGAGAACAAAAAAAGTTTCTCCATCTCAGGGTGTTAGGCCCAGGTTGGGGGGAGAGAAGGCTACTGGGTGCAGGGGGAGCTAATATAGGTAGTAAAAAACAAAAAGCAACTTTTTAAGTATGACAATTGAAAGGGTAAAAAGCACAGAACAATAAAAAAAATAAAAAAATAATAAAATTAAATAAATATGAAATTATATAAAAAATAAATATTTTGATTGTATAAGTTTAGAAAGTTTTAAATAGAAGGATCGGTTTCTAAAATAAACCAAAAAGGCACAGGACAAATAACCGTTGGTGGAAGAACTCAGAAGTCTGTCATAAAAAGGAGAAACAGATCAAAATTCAAAGTAATCCCGATAAATCGCCGGACTGGAGCAGGACTCGATGATGACCATAGAAAAGGAAGACTATGTCTCTTTGAGCTGGGATCTCAGGAAGTGTCCGATTTGCTTCTCTTGCTGGTCTGCACAGGAGTAGATGGCGAGAGTCTATGAGGCGAAACCTGACGTCCATTCATAGTATTGATGAGTTCCATTCCTTCTTCAGGCACGTGACTATAAAATTCCGACCATCCATACGGAAAAGGACTTTAACCGGGAATCCCCATCTATATCTTATCCCTCTTCGTCTTAGCTCCGCAGTGAAAAGTTGAAATTCCCTGCGTCGCTTCATTGTTTGAGCAGAAAAGTCTTGAAAGACCTTCATGCTGCTGTAATCTCCTGTGAGACCTGACGTGCGTACTGCACCTAGAAATTCTTCTTTAATGTGATAGTAGTGGAATCTCACTATCACGTCTTTGGGTGCAGCTGGAGGAGCATTGCCGGGTTTGGGCAATCTATGGATGCGATCCAGTAATAAATCCGTATTTTTTGCGTTTGGTAGAGCTGACTTCACCATTGTCTGGAAATAGCTTTGTAATTCCTGGGAGTCGATATTATCTGGGATCCCCCTGATCCTTAGGTTATTACGCCTACTTCTATCTTCAGCGTCGGCAAGCTTTTCTGCTTGTTGGTGCGCTTGCTTTTGGAGCTCTTTTACGGTTTCAACCAGATCCAGATGAGATTGCTCTTGAGAGTGCAATTTATTCTCTATTATTTCTGTACGCTGATTAATGCCCTCCATGGCTCCATATAATGTGTCAAAGTCATTTTTAAAGTCATTTTTCAAATCAACTCTCAAATCTTTAATAAGTTGAATTATCATGCCAGCTGACGGTGGCAGGTCTGCTGCCAATTCAGGTGGCATATTAGGATTATAGGTCGCAGCTTTAAATGTGGTAGTAGCCATATTGGAGGTGGCAGCGGCCATCTTGGAAGTGGAATATACAGTATCTGGACTGTCAGCCATCTTTGTTGTGGCATCATAACGTGTTCTCTGTGGTAGTGCAGAGAAAGCACTTTTTTGGAGCACTTCAGCCCCTATTTCCATAAAATTATCATCTGGGCTTACTATAGCCCTTGCTGCCCCTTTAAATATTTTGGGTCGGACAGCAGAGGCCCCCCCCGCCAGGACCGACAGCCTGGAGGCTGAGGATCCCGACGGGGAGCGTGACCTCGCACTGCCTTCCCCTTTACTAGCAACCCGGTCGCTTTTGTAAGTGAGCGACCGGGCTGCTCTGGAGTGGGACCACGAGCGGCTTGCTGGGAGGTCCTTGCCGCTCGCGGGAGACACAGCACTGTGCTCCGAGCATGCCGAGTGCTCGGAGCACTCTGAGCCGCACACAGGAGTGCCGGCTAGTGCGGTCGCGGTCCCGCCGCCCTCAGGAAGCTGCGGACGGGTCGCGGCCGCACAAGCATAAGTTTTGGGGAGGGAGACCGGGCGGGAGGTAGGGAGGGATTTCCCCGATGCCACCAACGAAAGTTTAAGCGGCGAAAAAAGCCGCGAGCCGGATCTGGAAGCAGGGGAGCGAGCCTGGGAACCCTTACTCACCCCAGCCGCTCCTGCTTCCATTTTCTTCGTCCCAGGAACAGATTTTTCATTTTTCTTTTGCCTCTGCATGGTCACTGCTAAATTGACTTTTTGTATTTTCAATCAAAATTGGTCCATTCAAATTAGAATTGTCGCTTTAGGAACAAAATTGTCCCCCTTGTCCAGGAGCCTCTCTATAACGTGGCCATCTAAGATGGTGGCCAAGACACGCCCCTCTATTTTCTGCATTCCTACTCATCTGTATGTTTCACTTTGTTGAATCTGTCAGATTTTTTTCATCTGTTTCTTTTGTTTCCTAACCAACTTTCTTTAATGTATATCAATGATTCAATGGACTTATCAGTCAACACTTTTCTCAACCGAAAAGTGAGATGTTACACGTCTCGTTTTTCAGCTACTCTAAATTTGGTGGTCTTCTGAAATGGAAATATCGCCAATAACTAGAATTTTTAGGAAGTATCTTTTCACTTATATTTGACTTACTTTCCATTTCTTTTTCTTTTTCATGTAGAGAATTGTCCAGATGTAAAATGCTGGTTTCTATTTTCTGATTTTCCCCGAGAAACTCTTCTAGGATTTCTTTGGCCTTTAATTAAAAAAGATAATTAAAACATTCTCTTCTTTTTATTAGCCAAACAAATAACACAAAATAAAAAAAAAATGTGTAAAAAAATCCAATATCTAATACATGGGGCAATTCAGTAAGATGTGCTATTATACAACATTTTGCGTTCACTGTTCTCCATTAGAAAATAGAGTGAATTTGAATACACTAGTCTATTGAAAGGGATATTATAATCACTAAGACAACTTCAGCTTAATGAAACAGTTTTGGTGTATAGATCATGCCCCTGCAGTTTCACTGGTCCCCTCCCTTTGCCCACTCCACCTTTCCACCCCCCTTGTTCATCCCTCATCAGTTCAGAGTGTATATCCACACATGCTCGCTGAGCCTAAAACCTGTAAGACTGGTCCAATCAAACCAGACTGGTACTTGGATGTGGAAAGAGTGACCATACTTGGCCATAGGCGTGCGTAGCCTATTGCATTAGGGTGTGCACCCTAAAGCACAAGCACACACCGCATATATAGATGTATGTATGTATATATATTTATATATATATATATATATATATATATATATACATATATACACACATACACACACTGCTGTGTGTGTGTGTGTGTGTGTGTGCTGTGTGAGGGTGCTGTTAGTGTGATGTGTGTGTGACGATGCTGGTAGTGTGCTATGTGGGTGAGGGTGTTTGTGTGTGCGTGCTTGTGAGGATGCTGTTAATGTACTGTGTGTGAGGGTGGTGTTTGTGTGTGCGCTTGTGAGGGTGCTGTTAATGTACTGTGTGTGAGGGTGCTGTTTGTGTGTGAGGGTACGGGTAGTGTACTGTGTGTGTGTTTGTTAGGGTCCTGTTTGTGTTTGTGAGGGTACTGTTAGTGTGCTGTGTGTGTGTGAGGGTGCTGTTTGTGTGCTGTGTGTGAGGGTGCTGTGTATGTTTGTGAGGGTGCTGTATGTGTGTGTGGGTGCTGTATGTGTGTTGGTGCTGTGTATGTCTGTGGGTGCTGTATGTGTGTGGGTGCTCTGTATGTCTGTGGGTGCTGTGTGTGTCTGTGGGTGCTGTATGTGTGTGGTTGCTGTGTATGTCTGTGGGTGCTGTGTATGGGTGCTGTATGTGTGTGGGTGCTGTGTATGTCTGTGGGTGCTGTGTATGTTTGTGGGTGCTGTGTATGTTTGTGGGTGCTGTATGTCTGTGGGTGCTGAATGTATGTGGGTGCTGTATGTGTGTGGGTGCTGTGTATGTCTGTGGGTGCTATGTCTGTGGGTGCTGTGTATGTCTGTGGGTGCTGTGTCTGTCTGTGGGTGCTCGATGTCTGTGGGTTCTGTGTATGTCTGTGGGTGCTGTGTATGTCTGTGATGTGTGTATGTCTGTGGGCACTGTGTCTGTGGGTGCTGTATGTCTGTGGGTGCTGTATGTGTGTGGGTGCTGTGTGTGTGGGGTGCTGTATGTCTGTGGGTGCTGTATGTGTGTGGGTGCTGTGTGTGTGTATGTCTGTGGGTGTGTATGGGTGCTGTATGTGTGTGGGTGCTGTGTATGTCTGTGGGTGCTGGTCTGTGGGTGCTGAATGTGTCTGTGGGTGCTGTATGTGTGTGGGTGCTGTGTATGTCTGTGGGTGCTGGATGTCTGTGGGTTCTGTGTATGTCTGTGGGTGCTGTGTATGTCTGTGAGTGCTGTATGTCTGTTGGTGCTGTATGTGTGTGTGTGCTGTGTGGGTGCTGTGTGGGTGCTGTATGTCTGTGGGTGCTGAACGTGTGTGGGTGCTGTGTGGGTGCTGTATGTCTGTGGGTGCTGTGTATGTCTGTGGGTGCTGTGTATGTCTGTGGGTGCTGAGTATGTCTGTGAGTGCTGAATGTGTGTGGGTGCTGAATGTGTGTGGGTGCTGTGTATAGACATACTGTATGTGGGTGCTGTATGTGTATGTGCTGTGTGTGTGGGTGCTGTATGTGTGTGTGCTGTGTGTGTTGTATGTGTGTGTGTGGGTGATTGTGGGGGTACATTATTTGCTATCCCCCCTCCCTTCTTACCTTTTGTAGGGAGGGGGGATCGTGCTGCTGCTTCCTTCCCTGGTGGTCCAGTGGAGGAGGGGATCCTTTGCTGATCCCTGGTGGTCCAGTGGAGGAGGGGATCCTTGCTGCTGTGATCCCTGGTGGTCCAGTGGAGAGTGAACTCTAGCCCCCTGTGGGGCTAGAGTTCACTCTCGCGAGATTTGAGCGTTGCCTGGCAACGCTCATATCTCGCGAGAGGAACCCGGCGGAGCTGCCAGCAATAGCTCCGCTGGGTCCTCTCCTGCCTCCCTCCCTGCATGTGGGTCAGTGGGGAGGGAGGCTGAGAGCAGAGCCGGCGCTCGGATAGCGCCGGCTCTGCATGAGCCGACAGGGGAGATCCTGAGATCTCCCCTGCCGGTCTCAATATGCATAGGCGTGCCGCAGGGATTAGGGTGTGCCCAGGCACACGAGGCACACCCCGTGCGCACGCCTATGTACTTGGCCCAGCTTTAGTTTCCAATAAGATTTAATCTTATTTTACTGTTTTTTTAAATAAAATTACAGGGAGAGGGTGCCAAACAAGTAATAAACCCCAAAAATAAATAAAGTTAAAAAAAAGATTTGGAGTAACCCAGTAAAGCCCAATACAGAGAACTATGTTTTGAATCCCAAGCATTAAAATGACACTGTAGGTACTGTATCTGTTTCATCTCATGAAATTGGTTATAGTGTCTGACATCTCTTGATCCCGACCTTTCATTCAGCATTTAACATTTTTACTGTTCACCAGCAGCCCATCCCCTCTGTACTGCTTGGGCTAATAAGGAAGTAGTAGAGCAGAAGTGATTGGCTGAGAGTGTCAACTGGCTGCTTTTAGCCTATTAGAGCTCCCGTTGTCAGTATGACTACAAGGAAGTGTGTAATTTCTACCTTAGCCACACCTCCAGTAGAGGTTGGGCTCTGGGTGGCCAGGGACCAATATTTACTATTAAACTGCTCGAAAACGGTTTAACACTGAATGGAGGGACAGTGCCAGGGGACTCCAGGCACCATAACCAATTGATGTAGATGAAATGTTATGGTGACTACAGTGTCCCTTTAAAGATATGAGTTACGGAATGCATTTGAATAGGTTAAATGTTGGCATGTAAGTATATGTAGAAATGGAGGTCAGGTTAGTTCCCCATTCCCAAAATCACTTGAGAAACATAAATATATCTCAAGCCATTCTGTGAATGGGGAATTACTGACACTCTCAGTCTGTCAGCTGCGCCCTGTCCGAGTCTCCCTGTGTGAAGCCTTGGACTCAGATTGATGTGGAGAGAGCAGAGCTGAATGGTGCCAGACTGCAGACTTTGGAGTTTAACCATTCAGTACTATTTAGCTCATGAAGGTAGCCAGTGCCAGGGACTCCCCCCCACCATAACGACTTTCATTCTGATGAAGTTGTTATAGTGCCAAGAGTGTTCCTTTAATGCAAAAAAGATATAGAGGCAAATGGTACAAAGGAATAGTCGGCACAAAGCCAAGGATGTGGGAACACAGAGATACACACTGACAGATACCGGCTTGGTCATACATTTTAATATTCAAAATACTCAATGAACCAATTATAGGGCTATAAATCACAATCGGCTAATTCATTATGGGTGTTGAGTATTGTTGTTGTCCTGTCATCATTTGGCTGCACAAGCAATTAAAGGGTCACTATAGTCACCAAAACAATTTTAGAGTAATGAGGTAGTTTTGGTCTATAGATCATACCATTGAAGTCTCACTTCCCAATTCTCTACCATTTAGGAGGTAAACCACTTTTGTTTCTGTTTATGCAGCCCCAACCACATCTCCCCTGGATGTGACTGACACAGCCTGAATGGAAACAAAACAGTTTCATTTTAAGTCAAATGTAACTTACTTTAAACGTTTACTTTAATTACATACTGGGGGCTCCTGCAGTTTATAGTAAGCTACCAGAGGCAATGACTTGTGCAACTTTAAAAAAAATTTTTTATATATCACACAAATGGCTCTTCTCATTTAGAGAATGTCACTGTACCTTGATTCCTTTTCCATTGATCTTCAAATATTCATCCACCAGCCTCTGTTTCTCTATAACAAACTCATTATATCCTCCCGGCTTACAGAAGTCTCCATTTTGAATCCTCTGTTCCCAATTAATGCTGAGACCCTGAATGATAGTTCTGCATTTTTTTTCAGATGCTTCTTCATTAAATCTACAAAAGTGCTCAAATCTCTGGTTCACATCCACCTGCAAAGAAACAGCATTAAAATTGCAGAGAATCACAGGCAATAAATATCATATCATTAGAAAACGTGTTTTTGTCTTTTTTTTTTTTTTACTTCTTTTTAGAAACTTGCACATTAAAACATATAGATTATTTTATTTACAAGTGTTGCACATAAATGAATTGTTCTGGCAGACTCACTTTTTGGTTAGAATTTTCTGAAGCAATAAATACATATCTTGTTATAGACATAAATATTATTATGCGTTACATAAAGAGTTAATAAGAGAAACTTACTTCCTTTCCCACCCTGCCACTGCGGCCATCTTTTTATTTTCATTTGGGTGACATGTACCTCATATTCCCTCCTGCCCACCTCCTCAGTTTTCTGACATTTTGTTTGTCAAATCTAAATGCCAGCAATGCTGCTTGCATAATATATAAATAAGGAATAAAGCTCTTTAAAATTACAATAAATAATACTACACTTGAGTGACGAACGAAGAGTGTGGGTTTTCATATGCAGTGGCAACTATATTTTCACATATATTTTTATTTTATTTTTATTTAAAGGGATACTGTTACTTCCCAGGATTTTTAATGTCATGTTTACTTATCCCTATGTTTAATTAAAATGTATTTGTGAATATTTAAAAATAAAATTAAATGTGGAAATCCACACATCTTTATACTGCAACTGGGCGCCCTCCATCTTAGTTTCCTATCAGTCATTGTTATAAGGTCTATCTTTTACAAATGGCATAATAGAGAAAGCATACGGAGAAGAGGAGAAAAGTTAACTCAAGTTATAGGTGATTTTCAATGTTTTATGGAATGATGTGAAATCGAGATGTGGCAGTTCTTTTATAATCAGGCCAGATAAAATTTTACATTTTTTATGGCACCTTGATTCAATGCTCTATACGAGTGAGCTAATTGGACATGTTGGCTTTCTTGTTACAATTACAATTGTTTATATAGTGCCAACATTTTAAGCAGAGCTGAACAATGGGTAAAACAAAAATATTACATCGAGGCCTGCATTCAGTGTCATAAAAGAGCAACATTTATAACAATGATTGACACGGAGGCAGGATGGACGTCACTTCCGGGTTATTGATATATACAATGGTTTGGTTTTCTACATTTAAATTTATATTTCAGACTTCACTAAAACACGCTGCCTAGAGGACAGGTAGACAGAATATACAAAACCCTGTGAAGTGACAGTTCTCCTTTAAAAAATCTCACATAAAACGTTGTTGGTGGCAGTGAACCTTGGAATGTGTTTTTATTCCACAGCTGGATGTGTAGATTGAAGAGTAATTCAGTATGTGGGACTATCACCTGTAGGTGCACACAAACATACAGGTTTATAGTGGACAGCCTCATTTGAAGAAATCATGTCACCCACCATGAGCTGTAACTGATACTTTCGTTCGTCATCCTTGAACGACCGTTTCAGAAAGACTTCCACTGCCTTTTCCTCACATTCACGATGGAATTTCATGAAAACATACTGCTCGACAGGAAACATGTTCTGCCTCTGTTTCATCTCATACTCATAGAGAGATACCCCATCTTGAATAGCTGCGGCATTCTCGATCACTGCAAGGTTTACCACCGCATTCTCCAGGCAAGGGATTGAGCCACTCTGAATTGACGTCACATAAGAGGCGGCAAGATTTCCCAGCACTGGAAAACATGAGAGCGGTCATAGAGCAGAAAGTTGCATCAGGAACTAGCGTAAATCCTGGTTTATTAAGTCTTTTAATCAGGGAGCCTATTTAATTTACATGTCAGACTGATCCCACCCCCATGATGGCCAGAACTGAACATTTGCATTTGTACATGTATCACACTTTGGAGATTTTATGGTATATTTAGCACGTACTTCTTCCGGTCACAGTGAGTCCTCCTGCTAAGGTTTTGGGCTTGCTCGTCTCATACACAAATGCAGAGAATTTCTTTACTTGCTCCACAAATGCCTCTTCTAACTGAGCCTCAGTGAGATCCTCCAGACAGTGCAGATTTGTAGTAGATGCAGGATGTGGAAATACAAAACACTTGTGTGAGTGGAAGAAGTGAGTTATGCATTCTCTTGGACAATTGTATTCACTGACACTTTTTGAATATCCTGAAATAAAGGATAAACATTGTATTAATATAACAGCTGTTATTTTTCAGGATCTCACATAACATGTGTGGGATACATGCGTGGCTTTTAGAAGTAAATAGGCCATGTTGATATCAACTAGACTCTTTAATAAACAGGCTAAGCACAACAGAAGATAAGAAAAAATAAATTATAAATAAAATAGATTACATTAGAATCCCAGTAACTTAGGAATTCTAAAATAGGTTTGATGTATCACAGATCTAAGCTGACCAGAGCACGAGGAGTTCTGTTGTTTTGTGGTTCCATTGAGAACTCCGTAGAACACCCGCTGAGCTTTGCAGAATTTGCAGGAGACCAGGAATTGAATGGTAACACTACCTTAAGTAAATTATCCACATTAGCAGGCAAAACCGAATTCCAAAATACAAGTCATAGTCAGTAAATTGAGTAGCAAATTAGTCAAGGTCCAAAGCAAAAACCAGAGCTACATAGTCAGGATCAAAGGCAAAAATCAAATCAGTAATTCAGAATCAGGGTATACAAGTATGCAATATACGCATTGTGTCTAGTATGCAAAGGCCCACTGTTTTATTTGCAACATAAAAAAAAACCCTAACCCCCAAAAGAAACCCTTACATAAACAAATGGTGATACTTGTTTCCAAGGTATCACAAATAATCGGGTATACAGAAGTGTAAATGATGTTACCGCCCGTCTGAACGATGCTCTCGGCTGAAATGAAATATGTCTGCTGTGAATATCACTGATGTCACTCGAGAGACCCCAAGTGTCTAGGACGGTGCCTTCAGTCACTCTGCGTTATCCCAAAGGCCGTTAGCACTTTGACGCGTTTCGCCCCGTTATCCCGGGCTTTCTCAAATAAAAAGGTATCATCTTGCTGCTACAAGTTACTGTGCTTTATATCAAGGAACTGTATTGCAACGACAACTATTAACCCCTCCAACACCAAAGGACTCTGGACATCTATATATACATTTTCTTGGGAGACTTTATGTAGCGGATGGCACTAGAGTGTCCTCAAGGGTTATGTTAAAAAGACAATTAGTGTGTTTATTTCCCTGTATAATTAAAATTGTATGTAAGATTCGTATGTTTGTCCGGTAATTTTCATCCGTATCCCATACGAATAAAAACTACCGAACCAGTAGACCACCCCAGAGCAGTGGCGTACTAAGGGGGGGGCGGAGGGGGCGGTCCACCCCGGGTGCCACCAGGGTGGGGGGTGCCATGACCAGCCCCGCCGGCCCCCCCATGCTGCAGCCGCCCGAGCGCTCTGTAGAGAGCCTCAGGCGGCTGCAGCTTTGCCCGGGCGGTGCGTCCATGAGGGCAGACCGCACCGCCCGGGCGCAGCCTGAGGAGAGGGGCTGACAGGAGGGAAGCGCTCAGCGCTCCCTCCTGTCACTCCCTCCCTGTAGCGTGGCCGAGCCCTGCAGCATGATGGTCCGACGGGTACAGAGAGCAGCTTCTCAGTGTGCACTTCCTGTTAGTCCGGCCGGGTACAGGAAACAAAAGCTCCCTGTACCCGCGGACTATACTGGGCTCGGCCATGCTACAACAAAGGTAGGGGGGAGGGGGTGGTGAGAAAGAGAAAGGAGGGGGGTGGGGTGAGAAAGAGGAGAAAAGGGGTGAGAAAGAGAAAGGAGGGGGTGAGAAAGAGAAATGGGGTGAGAAAGGGAGGGGTGAGGAGAGAAAGGAGGGGGTGAGAAAAAAAGAGGAAAGAGAAAGGGGTGAGAAAGAGGGTGAGAAAGAGAAAGGAGGGGGTGAGAAAGAGAAAGGGGTGAGAGAGAAAGGAGGGTGAGAGAGAAAGGAGGGGTGAGAGAGAAATTAGAGAGGGGAGAGATATTAGGAGGGGAAAGAGAAATTAGGGGAGAGAAATTGAAATTAGGAGGGGGAAGAGATATTAGGAGGGGGGAAAGATAAATTAGGGGAAGAGAAATTAGGAGGGGTGAGAAAGAGAAATTAGGAGGGGGGGGAGAGAAATTGAAATTAGGAGGGGGGGAAGAGATATTAGGAGGGGGGAAAGATAAATTAGGGGGGGGAGATAAATTAGAACCCCTGAAGAGAAAGGGGAAAGAGAAATTGGGAGGAGGAGAAGGAAATTGGAGCGGGAGGAGAGATTGACATTCATCACTTACACACAATGCACCCCTTGGACACAGAAAAACATACAATGCATTACACACACAGACACACATACACAAGCAATGCAACCGTTACACACAATGCATCCCTTACACACACAGAAACACACAATGCATTCATTACACACACTCAATGCACCCCTTACACACATTCAATACATCCCATACATACACAGAAACACACCTTGCAGCCCTTACACATACAAACACAATTTCACACAATACATTCCTTACACACATATCAGGACATCCCCTACACACTCCACCCCCTGTGAACAAACTCATTGGTGGAACATGAAGGTGGACCCTGGGACCCAGACCTTGAGCTGTGTAAAGGACCCCCAAAAAATGGAGCTGCTTCCCGTTCTCCCAGAACATTGATTTTTGTGACCACAGTTACAAACTGCCTCCAGAGAGCCTGTTCTGCACCAGACCAGTGGAGCCAGACTGCAGCTAGAGCCCATCATCATCCTCATCTGGTTGTAAGTAGGCAATCTAGTAAGAGAAAGAGGGCTGGCCCTGTGGGTACATACCGGGGTCGCAGGGCCCACTGAATCTGGGGCCCCCCAGTCCGGGCCCCCCAGGACCGCCGGGCCCATGACAACCGTTGTGGTTGTCATGCCCTGATGGCAGCCCTGCTGACGCACATACACACTGATAAACACTGACACATATACACACATACAGTGACACAAACAGAGATCCGCTTTGACACTCACACATATATGTAATTATTTTGAGTGCTAATTGAGTGCTATATATATTGTTGTAAGTAGATTGTTTGTATGGGGCGTCAGTGCTGTTTGAAAAACCAAAAGAGCCAACAAATTGTCCGCATTAAATAACCTATACAAAATGTACTCAAGCACACATACCTTTTTTAAGTTTCAGGGCATTTTGTAGATATTCATCCTGTGTGATTTCTTTATTTTCCTTCTCCAACTTCAAACAGAAGTCTCGGACACACCATATGAAGTTTGGGAAGTATCGCTTGAACTCGGAAGATTCATCATCTTCAACTTTAGTTGGAGCTGATTTCAATTTTATAAACTCAGTGAGTTCTGTCACGCAACTGCAAGAAGCTAAGGAGACACTGAAGGAATATGTAATGATGCACTATGAAAATAGAAGCTAACTCAGGAAATTAACTTCTAGAATGCAATGTGCAATGATGGGTCCAAACTTAATATAGACTGTGAATACACTCACATTTGTTAGATCGTAATCACCCAATTTAACATACACGTGTGGCTGATTTTGTAAGCACAATTTATATAATATTACCCAATCCCTCTATATGTATATTGTTTCATTTACTTTGCAAAGTCACAATTTTCGTATTATCTGTGTATAGATTAGAGGAAAGGGGACTGATAATAAGAAAACTGTGATTGGCTAAGGGCAGAGTCATGTACGCAGCTCATCTTTTGCTGATCTGTCATTGGTTACATTGAGTAAGGACCGTGAAAACGTCCGAACAGAGACATTTTGTGAATATTTTGTGGAGACATGGCTAAAGGATAATCGCAAAGAGCTTGAAAACTTTTTTTTATCAAAACTTGAGACTTGAATGTAGAACAAAGCACAATATGAATATGAGATCAAATGTACTTTGGTTGTGTTTGTGCCTGAATAATGCTAGGCATGACTGGAAATAAATAAATTAAAAAATAAAAATCACTGTTTAGTAGATACCTCAAATGAAAACATAAATGCATTTATTCATATATTTTTTTATTTTATGGACTTATCTAAAACAGCATGCAAAAGCTGCAGATCTCTTGCCTGCAGCCTTTTCCCTTCTAACGTGCTGTGGCTGTCCAATCACAGACTTCCCAATGCAGCTCAATGTGAAGCCTTTGCAAGGCAGGAACTCTGTGAAATTGCTGCCTCTTGAGTTTAGTTCAACTGAGATAACCAAACCAGGAACTAACATGACTAGTTTTTTGATTGACAGCCAAGGGGGTGTAACAAAGTTAATTGACAAATGTGCCAATTTCTAATGAAACATGCACTTTTTGTAAAATTAAAGATGAGGACACACTCTTCATACATAAAGCATTTCAGCAAGTTAAGGTGTTTTAGGGGTCTGGAGTGTCCCTTTAACTGGCATAGCAGGGTGACTAGCAATAACTCTTTAAATAGAAAAGTTGTTTTTTTTTTGTTTTGTTTTTTAACATACAGACAAATAATCATTACATGCATAAACAGAAGGATACTGTAACTTCTCCATGCTTTCTTGATCAATCGTCCCAACACTATTGTAAACTAGAGTGCTGCTTAGTAAAACAGCCAGAGAGAAAATCCAGTTATCATTCTTACTGCTCCCCTGGAACAGAAGGAAAAAATTTATTAAATAAACATTAGACGCTAAAAGCATGGCAACCGAAAGATTTCCTAAACATCAGGGGATTTATTTACTTAATACTGAATTGCAGTGAATTGAAATTTAAACTACACACATGTGGTAATATTAGCAAATATTCCAAATTTGACTTTTTCTTTCCATCTGCCTTAAGAAGGATCCTTGTCGTTTAAAGACTATAGATGAACATGTCTAAAGTTTTTTTCCCAAGTCTATTTTTACAGATAAATGACTTCAACAGTTTTACAGAAACATGTCTTAAACATGGTTGTTTTTAGATAGTTTTTTTTTTGTGTGCATTGTGACTAGTCCATCTGTACAAGTAGTAAGCAGAACTATGACAACTGGAATGGAATTTTGATGGTGTTAGACTGAGGCCCAGGGCCGGTCTGACAGCTAGGTGAACTAGGCAGCCAATTAATACACACTGGCCCTGGGTGGCACAAGATCCATTTGACCTGCAGGAAGGGAGCACACAGCACAGCGCTACCCTTCTGCTGGTTACAACATGTAGCGTGGCCAAGCCACAGACTGCAGTAGAGGAGCTTCTGTTTCCCTCTACCTGGTCTGACAAAAAGTGCCCACTGAGAGCACCGAACAGCTTTCTGTCACACCAGGAAGAGGAAACAGAAGCTCCTCTACTGCAGTGTGTGGCTCAGCCATGCTAGATAATGAAGGTTAGTTGGCAAGGAGGTGGAGAAACCACAAAGGGATAGAGGCACGAGGGAATAGACCATAAAGGGACAGTGGTTGGGAAACAAACCACAAAGGGGTTGAGGGAAGGGAAGAGACCATAAAGTGACAGGGCAACCATAAAGTGATGGGGAACAAGAGACCATAAAGTGACAGGTGGGGGGAGACCACAAAGAGGCTGGTGGGACAAAAAGGCATACAAAAGGCTACAGAGGAGAAAGAAACACAGTGGGGCTTAGGGGACAAAGAGGCACACAAAGGGGCTGGGGACAAAAAGTCACACAGTGGGACTAGCAGGACAAATACACCCACAGGGGGGCTGGACGGGAGAGACATACAGTGGGTCTGAGGGGGCAAAGAAACACAGTGGGGCTGTGGTGGACAAATAGTCACAGACGGGCTGGGGGAAGAAAGAGGCACACAAAGTTGGCAATATTTTGTTTTTGTTTTTTGAGGGTGCATAAAATAGTCTCCGGCCCTTCTAAACATTAGGCAGATATCCTAATGTTGTAAAACTAAAAATACTATGATGCTTTGCCAGCCTAAATGTCTCACTTTGCCATGTCCAAATCTACCTTTGGCCACACATGTATTAGACAGAACCTAAGGCTGTGTAAAGCTCCTATGTTGAGTTGATAATCCGGATGATATTGGAAGCCTGTCAGCAGTCCTGCTGTCCAGCAGATTTTTAGCAGTGAGGGACATAGATAAGCTTATGTAACAGAAAGATCTTATAATAAATACTAATTAAAAGGAAAGTGAAAATACCAAATTGGAGTATACTGTCAGAATATGGCAAGATTCTAGTTACAAGTCTAAGAAGAGTGACAAATATTTGTCTCACCATTACACTTCAGATCCTGGTAAGGACCGTGCTTAGTTAGACACATATTTATTGTTATTGCTTATATATTCAACATAAGCATGGCTAATTTAATTTGGCTTGGGCTAGGAAAGCACTCTTTTTAAGGCTAAATGGAAACAACATCAACTGAACTACATACCCTATTAAAAACTGTGCAAATGGTCATATTACAACTTTCAATTTAGAATCAGAAAACATTAAAGGTCTACTCAATGCACTATGACCATGTACATGTTTTGAAGTAGTCATGGTGCTTGAAGTCTGTTTGTGGAGTGATTCAGTTTACAATTCTGCACATACAGAGTTATCTGAGCATGCTTCTGAAAATATAACTTCACCTCCGGCAGCATCATTATCTTATTCTGGCTGGATAATAGTATCCTTGCACTAGATGACGAGTAGTGGAACACCCCACCCCTCCGTGACATCCAATTCCTCAGCCCAGGCTCCCTACTATCCCTACCTCTGCAGTGAGGGATATCATCAGAAGAGGATCAGGTTGAAAAGAATACTTGAATTTAAGCACAGTTTTTGGCTGGAGTTACCCTTTAATTGTGATCTAATTCAGCTAGCTCCTGCTTGAGTAGAAAATCTGCAAACTCACAGTGTTGTGGACAGCTGTACATTTCCCCCAGTTAGGACTCATTGACTTTAATGCTGATTAGAAGGTTAGCATGGCCAAGGATTTTTGCACAGTCAACATATTTACACAAAATGGATTTACCTGTAATTTTACAACAGGAGGCTTCATAATTTGCATTAACTTTTTTACTTACTCCATTACAGCAAAGAACATAGAAAAAAACAACAACAAATAACCAATCAGAAACAAGTAAAGGGTATAATAGGCACATATAACCAAAGCACACCGTCTTTCTTTGCTTTTCCATCACAAGTCAGGTCAGTTTTGGTTTACCTCACAAACTATTTAGGTCTTCAATTTTAGCTTGGGTTTTATCTATCTTCTGTTTCTGTTGTGGGGCTTTCATGGGTGTGTTTCACTGTTCCCTAGTTCTTTGGTGGGTGCTATTATGTGCTATCCTAGCCTATAACCATTTTGTCTTTTTTGTAATCACTTGTCGTTGCCAGTGTGTTCCTTTTTTCCTGGTATCCCGCAAACACTGGTAACCCCTTGTGGCTCCAACTACTGTTTTCTCCACTTTTTCCCACATGGCTACATTCACAAACTTTCATTGTGCTCATTTGCAGCACCAAACACCATCTTCGAGTTTGCTCCATATTGCTTGTATGTTGTTCGCTTTTCCTTCGAGTGCCAAAAGGGTTGTCCGTATTTGCCCACGAATGTTCGACTACACTAGATGCTCATTTGCATTTGTGCCACTCACTTAAATAATTTGGTAGATGCTGAATGATTTGCGGTCTGTGAATTTCTTTCGCAGGCATGTGGCAGCCATTTGAATCTCGTATGATGAGATCCTGAAAGGCCATTTAGATTCCTCGAGTTCCAGGAAGACATTATCACACTTCTGGAAGTCTGCTGCACTGCATTGGAGTGTCTGCTCAAGTCATTCCTGTTTACTGTTTAAGTGGGAGCAAGTTCAGGCTGGTGCATTAAGTTGGGGAGTTGGACTGCCAGTTAGGTTTCACCTAGAACTCTGGCCAGGGTTGAGTCCCCACTTAAAAGTATCCATAGTGCTGCTGAACGGAGCCTGCACTTGCAGTCTACATATTTCCTGGGTGAGTCCCAGTGGTCCCCATTACTGCTTATAATCTGATTAGTGGCTAATTAACATTTATGCTCCTTCCTCCCAGTCCCTTTGCCAGCCTAAATGTCTCACTTTGCCATGTCCAAATCTACCTTTGGCCACACATGTATTAGACAGAACCTAAGGCTGTGTAAAGCTCCTATGTTGAGTTGATAATCCGGATGATATTGGAAGCCTGTCAGCAGTCCTGCTGTCCAGCAGATTTTTAGCAGTGAGGGACATAGATAAGCTTGTGTAACAGAAAGATCTTATAATAAATACTAATTAAAAGGAAAGTGAAAATACCAAATTGGAGTATGGCTTATGTGCCTGCTTTTACGACCATTAGAAGAGGTCTGTTCCACCATTTTGTACCCGTGTCTCATTGGTACCTTTATTTGGCTGAGCCCCAGTACTACATCAGTCTTACCACATAGGAATAAACAAAAGAATAAAACAGCGCTAAAATAAACCAATACTAAGATAGGTAATGTATGAGGCGACAACCTAAAAATAGGGTTCCCTCTAAGCCCTACAGACAGGTAATACACAAGACACAATAGAAAAAGGTTGCTATGGTATGACTAAAATAAACAAAGTCCAGAGAATAAGTAGTGCCAAGCAAAGTGTTAAGTTGGGCCTGATGGGGCACCGACGGTTTTGTGGAGGAATATTCTCTCTATGGGTCAAATGAAGACGGTTTTCAGGATCTGTATGTAAAGAGAGAAAGAGATAACAGTGCAAATACATCTGATACAAAGTGTTCAATTGCAGGAAGAAGAGATCAATAGTAATCCCACTCACATGTAGTAGAGCTAAACTAGCTCTAGTGTGGATAGGATACGTAGGGAGGTATTGGTCTTTAAATCCGTATGTGGGGAAAAAAAGGACAGATGATAGGGCAATACTTCTGGTAAAGGTGGTATATACGCAGGGGAGGGCTGGCAGCCTTAGGCCTGGGGGGCAAAACCAGTCATGTGGCCCATTGCACCACCAAATCAATTCACCATCCATGTCCACGTTTTTTCTGGTTTTATAACGGATATTGAAGTTATGCTAATCAGTAGTTCTTTGTCATACCTACTCCTTCACGGCTCTGACTATCAATGTTTTCAGAGCGTAGGATGAGAATCTCCGAGCCTGTGCTCTGACTCACTAACTGAGTGCCGGAACCACGAGGGAGAGGATATGATCTGACTGCACCTACTGCACCTACTGCTGGTGCGCACCAGTGGACCACCAGCGAATCGTTTAAATTGAATATGCTGGTGTACCCAACTTGTGAGCTGTGTTGCCCGCCGGGCGCCTCTGTTGTCATGGTACCCTGTGTGACCGCACAGCGTGCACACCCCAACGGCTGGCCCTGCTGACACACACTGATGTTACTACTTAGAAATCCCGCATTATTAATACAGACATCAGAGTAAACACCAATAAACTGTGGAAACAGAGCTGATGCCCCCAAATTTATAAAGATTTGCTTAGTGGATTTGTTGTAAGATTAAATCATGCCTCCTCCTCTCTCTCTCCCATGCGCTGCTCTGTAGGCTGGGAGGAAGTGAAGAGTAATCACATTCTCCCAGCACAGTGCCACCTGTGGCTGCATGGGGAACAGCAGTTTAGTGTAATGCTTGCAGGACGGCCAGCTGCTGCAGAACCTCTTTGTTCCCGTCTCTGCAAAGGGCTCAAGGCACTGCTTGTTGTGAGTGTGAGCCACTGTAAATTAGGGGCAGAGGGCACTTGCACTGCGGTAAAGACGGGTCTGGGCAGGAGGAGAGTGCAGTGCAATCAGTGCACTCACCTCCTGTGGGTCACCAGTAGACTGGTGCACCTGCCCAGGATCAGAGCCTGTGCAAGGATTTTTGCTGCCCTAGACAAAAGAAACATTTGCCGCCTCCCCATGTGATATCACAATGCCTCACCCATATGATCTGCCATAGGAACTAACGCCAGTGCTGCACACAGTGTGTGTTTACATTAAAAAGCCTGCAGGGACCGGCTATAGACACCAGAACCACTTCATTAAGCCATAGTGTCCCTTCAATGTGAGGTAAATTATAGATTAGTGTCACTAATAATATACTAGATTGCCTACTTACAACCAGATGAGAATGATGACGGGCTGCAGTTTGGCTCCACTGGTCTGGTGTAAAACAGGATATCTGGAGGCTGTTTGCAACTGTGGTCACAAAATTCAATGTTCCGGGAGAATTGGAAGCAGCTCCATTTTTTGGGGCCCCTTACACAGCTCAAGGTTTGGTCCCCAGGGCGTGACAGTGAGTATGCCCATAAGGCCCACTCATAAGTCCACTTATATGTTCCACCCACCCATGAGTTTGCTCACAGGGAATGGAGTGTGTAGGGGATGTGTTATGTGTTACTGTAGAGGATCTAATATGTGTGCTTATGGTATGTAGTGTATAGGGATACCAGTTTGTATAGGTGATGCAGTGTGTAGTGGAAGCAGTGTGTATTTGTGTATAAGGGATGTATTATGTGTTTCTGGTTGTGTGTAAGGGATGCATTGTGTGAACCTGTGTTTGTATGCATACGGGATGCAAGGTGTGTGTCTGTATGTGTGTGCATTGAGTGTAAGAGGTGCATTGTGTTTCTGTGTGTATGTAAGAATATCAGTGTGTGTGTGTTTGCATGTGTGTGTAAGGGTTTGCATTGTGTGTTTCTGTGTATGTGTGCAAAGGACGCATTGTCTTTGTGTGTAAGGGTTGCATTGTGTGTGTGTGTAATGGATGCATTGTGTATTTCTCTGTGTGTAAGGGAAGCATGTTGTGCTTCTGTGTGTGTAGGGATGCATTGTGTGGTTCTGTGTATGTATAGGGATGCATTGTATGTGAAAGAGCTCCCTGTTTTGCCCCCTGTCCTATAGAGCTGTCCCTTCTGTCCCTTAGAGCTCTCCCCTGCCCCTTAGTGGCCTCTTCTCTCCCCCACCCTCCACTGAGCTGATTTTAATAATGTTCGTCCGTAAACCACACCCACACACTCATTTCCCCTCCTTCCCCTACAGCCATATCAGCTGAATACACTCCCCGGCCGACGGCATCATTACCACGCCCCTGGTCGAACAACACAGCCATTCCATCTGCTTCCACACACTCCCCCTTATCAGCCTGGCAGTTTCATATGGTTCTCCCTACAAACTAAATATCCCAGTACCCCTAGCGGCACGTCGCGCGATCGGCCGGGTATCCAAAATGGATGCCGATCACGTGACCAACGAAAATATACTTTTTTCCTCATTTACAACCCTTGTTTTAACTCCATATTTTAGGGGAAGTTACCCTGATAACATATCTACTAAATTATATAGTTTGTTTTATATTTTGAAAATTGCACTTCACTTTGATGACGTCATTTGGGCGCCAAACTCTGTTCAGAGTTCAAAATCAGTCCCCGTATATAAACCCTACCCTACCAAGCATGTTTTTTCTCTCCACTTGAGAAAGCCTTCATAGGTGAAACGCGTTGTGGATATTTTAATATTTTATTCTGTATTCCAAACAAAGGTATTTTGGCTACTTTTAACTCACTTTGATTGTGCCATTTAACTCTTTTTATTCATTATTTTTATTTTTGCTTGGTATCCTGATTTTATTACTCCTGCTAAGTACTACTCCAAAGACATCAGAGGTGGGGATTATACCACTTACGCCTCAATCATTAAGCAGTCTGCCTGCTCAATCCTATGTGAGTACACATTTTATTAATACTCCTTATATACCACTTTTAAACAGCGAGCACTATTAGTTGTCTCTTCTCTTTCATGATCTACATATCGAAACAAGACTCAATCTCTAAACGTATCCTACAAGCGGGGATTATACCGCTGTATGCCATTCACACTAGAGCTGGTTTGAGCTCTACTTCACGTGAGTAGGACTATAGTAGACTCTGTTGTCGTATATACCACCTTTATCAGACGTATTGCCCTATCATCTGTCCTTTTTTTTCCCACATACGGATTTAAAGACCAATACCTCCCTACGTATCCTACAAGCAGGGATTGTACTGCTGTATGCCATCCACACTAGAGCTAGTTTAGCTCTACTACACGTGAGTAGGATTACTATAGATCTCTTCTTCCTGCAATTGAATACTTTGTATCAGACGTATTTGCACTATTATCTCTTTTTCTCTTTACATATGGATCCTGAAAACCGTCTTCATTTGACCCATAGAGAGAATATTCCTCCACAAAAGCCGTCGGTGCCCCATCAGGCCCAACTTAACACTTTGCTTTGGCACTACTTATTCTCTGGACTTTGTTTATTTTAGTCGTACCATAGCCAGCTTTGGCGCAACCTTTTTCTATTGTGTCTTCTGTCTTACCACATACTGATTAAAAACACGGAAGACACACAAAACAGCATGGATTTGCAATCTATGATCAACGCGGCTTTCATCGCCTCCGTTGAAAAAGTGCTTGCAAAAGCATTCCCGATGTGCTTGGA